TGGCTTATGTCTTCCTTGGTGACAATGAAATCTCCAACCACTTTTCATGACTCAGGTAGATTCTCGGTTGCTGAGTACCTTTATCTGGCCTACAGTGGATCCTGAGGATCAAACCAAGAGCACTGGGCATGATAAGCACTGGCTCCACATCTGAGCCACACTTCATGGTCTTCACACAATACTTTTATGAAACAAATACCTTAGACCTTGAATCAGAGACCATCTTTCCCTCAAGGACTCAAGACAGATAGAGCCCAGCCGTGAGAGACCTAAGGAGGCAAATGGCGCTTATAGGGAGCACTGGGTGCTTTAAGAGCACCTGCACAAAATGGTCAGCATTGGAGCTGAGACTAGGATGGAGATGGAGAATGGGAAACTGAGAGAAATGAAACAGTTCAAAGGCTAAGTAAACAAAGGAGTTACAAAGTAGTGAACAGGGTTGGAGCAAGAGGGCTCCATGCAGGCTTCTTTGGAGGAGTGTGGGAGTAAGAAAGGAAGCTAAAACTACCCATAGCCTGTGCTCTAGCCTCCATATGAGAAGCTCAGATTAGTGAGGAAGTCAGATTTGCATTAGAAAGGCTGGGACATGCAGGAGGCAGACCAAACTATAGGAGGAATGGACCACAGGACAGAAGCCCCAGTCTTAGGGAGGGATGGCAGTGGCCTTTGGCAGGCCTCTCTCTTAAAAAGGAAATGCTGTGAAGGCCAGAAATAAACTTCCCTCATTAAGTCTTTAGTAGCTTCTTTCTCCTACCCTCTCCCACCTATTCTTGTCTGGCCCCTCATGCCGAGACCACTATACCCCCAGCCTCTGACTCTGTCTTGACACTGTGAAGGGTCTTTCCCATGGCCTTGACTCCTCTGCTTTGCAGTCATAGATTTCACCTTCTCTATGCCTTCTACATTACTCCCTGGCTCTCCTGCAGTTTCTCTTAAGAGTGGGGTCCCTTCCCTAGCAATTCCAGAAAAGGAAGGAGTAAGGCACACAGAGCATGGAGTCTAACAAAACTCCTTTCCATCTGTAGCTCCTCCATTTCTAGTGAGCCTAAGTGGAATCTGTGTTTCCTAGTCAAACGGACATTAATTAGCAGTCAACTCTGGGAACAGAGCATCCATGGTCGCTGTGGAGGGAATGTGTGGAGAAAGGACAGAATACCATTCCTGGCACAGATGGAAGTATGGATGAGCAGATGGAGATCCTGGGGTACCAAGTGATGAATGGCTTTTCTCAAGCTGGTACTTTCTAGACCATGTTTACAGGGCCACTCCTGGCAAATGGGAAGATCCACCCACCCTGACTGCCCTATGGCTTGCTGTGTCTGATCTAGAAGCTGCAGCAACTGGCAAAAGATGGAGTGGGACCTCTATGTGGTTGGAAGGCAATTGGTACTATGGGCAGTCTTGGGAAAGCAGGGCTCACTTCCCTGAAGGAAAGGATAATCTTGCTCACACCCTTCCCAGCCCCCCAGCACACACTGGCAAGGAGGATACTCAGGGGCTGTGGGCCTGAAAGCAACATATTTGGTTTCAAAGTTGTCCTCTTGACCTCAGTCATGAAATGTGGCCCAAAACACCATGGGGCCTAGAGAGCCCAAAAATAACCTGCTGAGCCACTGGCAACCCATAGCGAGTAGGCAGAGCATTCAAACAACCATACTGCTCCTGGGGCCAAGCCACTCTTTGAGGGTCCTCCATGGTGTATAAGGCCAACAAACAACCCCTTTTGTTTACTTATCAGGCCTTCTGAGACGGAGCTGGGAAGCAAGGCCAGGACTCTTGCATGTTTTCATAACAGTGAGTGAAGAGAACATTGTCATAGAATGTCCCACGGTGACTGTTTCTTTTCATTCAGGGATATTCGGCAACAGAAACATCTGAGACTAAAATGCTAAGTCCACAAATGAAGGACCATTTATTTCCAAAGGTGAATGCAGAGAGCACTTTCATACAATCAAAGATTTTTACAAAACAGAGAAAACACATTACAAAATACCCGAAGAAGAGAGCAAACTGGGTGGGAGGGGGGCATAGAGCACCCAAGAACAAGACTGACAAAGAATACCTAGGTCTAGGGGCATTAGAGACTGGTTCTGATGGGAGCCACTGTCTGGAGGGAGGAAGGTACAGAGGGTGGTTGGCCCAGGGTACAGCCATCCCAGCTTGGGGAAATAAGGACTGGGGGCAGGCAAGAGGGACAGAGGCATTGCCAGTGTCCCAGTAGGAATAATTATACATCAGCCTATCTAGTTCCTTTAGCTACAATTCTATCCATGGAAATGAAGAAACCTTTCACCACGAAAACAACACTGACACGCAAAGTAAGCAAAAGTTTCCAAAGTAAATCTCTGCTTGAAATGACTTTTGTGTTGTTGGGTTTTTATGTCATGGTGGGGGTGGGGTTGGGTTGTTTGGTACCAAACCACTTTAGAAAAGTGTCCCAGAAAAGAGCAATTGCAAGTGACTGGGTTGTCCTGAGCACGAATCAGCTTATTCTATCTATGTACAGAAGAGAAGGCTGAGTCCTTTCACCAATGTCCACCTCAATGAATGCAGGGCAGCAGGGAGGAAACCCCATACCAGTCTGGAGCATTGCCAAGGACCCACAGGCTCATGAAAGACCAAAGGCAATACCACTACCTTGTCCTACCATACCTTCCCCAAACCTTCCATGTAGGTAAAACTATGAAGGAGTTCCTCTTTTGAACAGTGTAGATAACACTGGAGAGTCTTTGTGGCAGAACAGGACATTCTGCCTCCTAGGAGCCCAGCTAACCAAGCCCAGGAAACTGACCAAGCCAGTTCTGGTGCAGAGAGCCCTGCCACTACTGTGAAATCTATGGGGGGAGTGTGATCATGACTGTCACAGGACACTGAATCATTAATAATCACATTATTTCTAAACCCTGGTGAAGGCTACTTCAAAACAGATGGTATAACAGCTAGGCTAAGGTCTTGTAGGGCACAGGGCACCAATAGTTTAGGTGAGTGCTAGAAGTCCACCGAGACAGAGAAAGGGATGTTGTGGCTTCAGAACTTCTGTAGTGCCTCATAGGCTGGCAGAGGAACATGTCACCATGCCTCTGGGAGGATGCTAGGCAAGGTCTTGGGCATAAGAAACCAAATACTAGGGTGAGAAAGACTTTAAGTAGGCGTGACCATCTCTCTGCCATTCAGAATGAAGCTGTAAGTTGGCCAGCTCAGGAGATTGTGCTCATTGGCCCAGATCATTGACCACAGCTGCCCAGGGGCATATGAGAGCACTCCTTTCCATTCCTGTGGTTGTCTGAAAGGAAACTGGCCACTTCTATGAATACTCTCTCACACACTGAGCCATCACACACTGGCAGATGGCAGATGGCAGATGGAAACAGGGCTGAGGTGGTTTGAGAACAGCCTTGGTACTGGCAGGAAAACCCTCAGGAATCGGGAAGCCAGGGACCATTGGTCCCCTCAGTGTGCAAACTGTGGTTCCCCCTTGCTCCTGTACCAGAGCCAGGAGTAGAATGCTTGTTGGACAAATAGGGGGGCCATCCCTAAGGCAAGCTTCCATGTGTCTGGCCAGGTTATCTCTTTTCACACGGACTTGGCCCAGGGTAAGAGTGAACCTCAGAGCACTTTGGATGCTCGCTGCTTCCCAACACCCCTAAATCCAGGCCGACTCACTCTGGAGCCTGGGGAAGGGGTACGCTATCTGTTCCTTCAGCTTCCTTGTTTGGGATCCAACCTGTCCTCCTGCATCTCCCCAAAGTATCTGACTTTGGCCTGGCCATCTCAGGAAACATGGCTTTCCTTTTTTCTCTCTTGTTCACTAGAAAGTAGCTGCCAGGATGGGGGTACTGAGCTGTAGCCAGGGCAAAGGCAAGATTTTGGAGGCATGACAGTAAGAGAAAGTCTCATGACTAGCCATCTGTGTTGTGCCACTGAGATGAGGAAGAAGAGAAGACCTATACCCCAACACCACCAGGGCATTCTGGAGCTGGTCCCCAGCTCAGACATGGATACTCTACCTGTAGAAGCTCCATATTTTTGCAGAGGTCAGGCCAGGATCCCAGGGGGTCATCTTCCCAACCTCTCCTACAGAGGGCCAGGGTTTATTGCAGTCTTACACACAATTCTTCCCCAATTGGACCTACAGGCTACAGCCTGATAGGAAGGTCAGTCAAATATAGCTACTCAAGAGGTACCTCCTCTGGCAGGCAGTCAGTCCTAGGGAGAGAGGCACTAAGAAAAGCTTGGCAAGGCCCTTAGAGAAGACAGAAAATCCAAGTGTCACAGCCCAATTTGTTCAAGGCAAGGCCAAGGACACATGATGTTCTCTTTTCCTCTCCCCGTGCCCTTGGGTGAATTGCTTCAATGCCAGTAGATCTTGGCTCCACAGTTTCCTCCATGGGTTTCTACTTACTCAGAGATTTGTACAGCTACTGCCTCCGATAGGTCCGTTTCTAAAATTGTGCCACTGATCACCAAAGTTCAATCTATATCTAACATTGGCACTGGTCGAGGGCAACTGGGTAGTCACTGAATGAACTTTTCTAGTCTTAAACAGATCTGTTCCTAGTAGAAGTCCATCTCCCTTCTTGAGGTCCATGTATAATTGAGTGAAAAGTCCCCTCTTTCAGAGTACTTGATACTCCCTCCTCTACTTGTAGGAACTATAGTCCCTTTGGAGTTCCCTTTCACTCTAGATGTGGGCCTTGGGGGAAGATCAAGTAGGAGGTATGGGGTGACCACCCCTGTGTTGAATCTAGCTGCATTGAAGAAACATGGCCCTAGGGAAACAACAGGCAAGAGTTATAGCCTCCCAAACCAGAGTGTGGCCATACCCTGTAAGACCCTATAGAGCCTATGCAACCTTCCAGAATAGGGCCCTGATGAAAGAATTACCCCAACTCAGACATACAAAACCATACAAACACAAAAGAAAAGTAAGTCCACGCCTCAATCCTAGCACACGCTTCCTTGAAGCTGCTTCTGAGACACAGACAGAAGAAAGACGAGTGGAGGGTCACATGCCTATTATCACCATGAACATGGAACATGATTTGAATCACAGTTTGCTCAAGTTATCACTTGCTTTGATTAATTTACTTTTGACACTCACTTTTCATTGGGATATGTTCAGTTCTCAGCTTTCGTGGGCAGTTGTTAGGGTCCTGCCTGGTGTGGCATATATGGTTTGTTTCCTTTTTGCTTTAGATTTGCCAATGCAACAGATCTCTAAACCCCTCAATGGGATCTCAAACGTGGGGTGCATGACATTCTCACTTCCCACTCTAGGCAGTGTTTTGATGGAGCAAGGCTGAGGGGCTCCCTGCTTTTGAATCATGGGACAGTAGTGGGAAGAATCTGGCCAATTCTATTTTGGCCATGAGCTGGGAAATCCCTTCACTCTGGACTTGCTGCTGGTATATAAACAAGGCCTCAGTCCCCTTAGGATGGGGACTGTGCTGGAGACAAAAGGGGATCCCAGCAAGAGACTGGAGGTCCCTGGCAGTGGAGAAATGAATGCCAACTAAACTTGTCACTTGGATGCTGGAAGAATTACTGCTTGTTGTTCCCTGTTTCCTCAACCAGCTGTTGTTAAAGCACCAACAAGCAGGGTGAGGGAGCCAAGACTACTACCTCCCTGTGTAAGGCCACTCAGAGCAGAGCAGGAAGACAGAGCCAAGGAGAGGGAAGGGGGGGGGAAGACCTAGCCCCTAGCACCATGCCTAGGCACAAGGAGACATCCTAGAGGGATAGGAGCTGGGGAAGGAAGAATGATGGAAGAAAGGGACAGAGAGGAAGAAAAAAAAGAAATACACCAAACATCCTACTGCCCTCTCCAATGATTTCATCAAGGACTGAGTGTTTTCCAAGTCAAGTCAGGATTTGCTTCCTTAGGGAGGAAAAAAAAACACCAAAAAACCAAACCAAACCAAAACCAAAACCAAGCACCTTCAGTCTATTTTCTTGGCTGGAAGCCGGAGCAAATCCAGCAGATATTTACACAAGGGCCCAGCCATGTATGAGAACAGGATGACCAGCTTCCCGTGGGTCATGGTCATGAGAGTCTGGTGTCCCGAGGCCCAGATGCGATACCAGGGGCCGTAGAATGGGTCTGAGATGGCCGGACACAGCATGTTGTTCAAATTCACTTCGGTGACCTGCAGGGACAAGGGAGGGAGAGTGAGCGTTCGCCATCCTTTGGCTTCTCTGGTTTCTGCCAGTTCAGCCATCTCTACCTAGTGGGGGACTAGACAAGGCGGGATTGACCAATCTCCACCTGTTCATAAAGAGATTTCTGTGCCCTAGGTTTGCTGAGTGGGCTGAGACTAAAGCCTTTTGGAGGTGTTGACTGGGTTGTCTGATGGAAAAGCCGTTAGGTTTGGCTCCGTCTTGCTTTCCGGTGGGGGAGAGGGGGTGGGCTCCGAGACCTTCTCCATTCCTAAGAATCACTATGTACCTAGTCCCTGGAGAGACATTATGGGATAAAAGAGCAGTTAACAACATGGTCCCTGCCTCCACATCCTGTCAGTCCATCAAGTGGGGATGGTTATTTACTGTATCTGACCTCAAAGCAGATGGTGCCCACAAGCTTTTCATGCCATGGGGAGGTCTGAGGAGCAGATGTGATGGACAGAATGGGGCCAAATATTGAGAGGTTCCATGAGGGACGTAGCACCTAAATGGAATCATGAAATGAATGGAGTGGGGTGACTGGAGCCATCCCTAAAGGAGGCATAGCTGGAGCATAGTATTTATGGTAACATGAGCCACTGATGCCTCTGGAATCCAGGTTATCAGTGGGGTCCAGCAAGAGGTAAGGAGGGGTGTATGCAGGTTTGAGTCACATTGAGCCCTTCCATAAGCATGGCAAGCATCGATGCTATTGGCAAGGAACTCAGACCACTTCTGGCCAACCAGAGCAGAGCCCTTCACCAGGGTGAAGAAGAGAAAGTGACCACTTCCACAAAGGACAGTGGTTACACACTCCCATCATGCAAAGTCGCGCAAGGCTCCACATGGCTGATGCTATATTAATGCCACCTACATAGAACCAGACATGCCACTCTGCCCCTGAAGATGGCCAAGCCACCTGCTTTCCAGCACCCTTCAAGCCTTTACATGTTAAAGACAAGTCCTTACCACCTCTCAGGGAGTCAGGCTGCACTTGGACACCATGTTATCATGAGGTAGAAAGCGCTTTGCCCTCAAAGGTGAGGTGACCCATCCAGAGCAGTGGTGGAGCCAGGATTTGAACTTGGGTCTCCTGACCCCATGCTCAGTCCTGATCTCTATGCCACTGGCATACATCTTCATAATATCGGCGATTTGGGGCTTTGGATAACTCAAACATTCTCCATGCTCCAGGCAGTTCAAAACCCCACAGAATTTCATGCTTGTTCCCCAACACCACGTTTTACTGGCCATACTGCTTAGGGCAGTGCCTGCTAAGGGATGTAGGAGAAGGCTCAAAATGGACCCAAGGTCAGAGCTTCCCCATGAAGTATACAGCAAACCACTGCCTTATTGCAGCTCAGTATTTCCAACCCAAGTGGCCATGATTGAAAAGCATTCTTGCCTCTCCAAGGATGGAAGAACAGCCATTATTGAAGTATTCAAAAACTCTTTGGAGAGCCCAAAGCTGTGGATCATAAATCAGCATCCCAGACACAACAATCTGACATCCTGGCCTTTCACATCTTGTATTTTCAAAACAAAATGATACACTAGCGCCAACTGGGATTATCAAGATTTATGGAGAATTGCAAACAGAGGGGAGAGAAGGGGCTATAACCAAACTTACCAGGCCGAGGATCTGTAGGAAGCTGAAGTGGTAAAAGAACATGAGGCCAGTTGAAAGAAGAGCCCACCGGAAGCTGCTGAGGGGCTCTGGGGTATAAGCACCTGGAGGAAGAGCAGAGATGGTGAGATAGGAGGAAGTTACATACTTCTTTGCCCACACAGAGAGCAAGGGTTGAAGTCACAGCTGCAATCTGCTCATGGCTCCTTTCAATCCATCAGTAACTGCTACTATGAGAGCCTCATTGGGTACATGAGGCCACCTCTTCCTGTGTTCTGCTAGTCCATGCTAGGCCATTACAAAGAGAAGATTTTTGATTATAAAAGTAATACATGCTCATTAAAGGTACTGTAGAATGTTACAAAGTAGGAAGAAGAGAGGAAAAGTAGAAAAAAATCCCCAATATTCTACTATTGGAATACAAGCCCTGCTAACACATGAGTGTGTCTGCATGCTAGTTATGCCTCAGGATTTTCCTTTCTTTTTTAAAATTGATACTTGGGATCACACTGCTTGTAAAATCATGTAGTTTTCATTAATACAGTTTTGATCCGGTGACATTGAGGTTGTATATTATAATAACTAGGAATGTGAACTTTATTATTTTGAGGGAACTGTGGCTTGAAATCAGGGCCTGACCGCTGTCCCTGAACTTTTTCTTCGCTCAAGGCTGGTGCTCTACCAGCTCCATTTTTGGCTTTTTCTTGCTTGGGCTGGCTTTGAACCATGATCCTCAGATCTCAGTTTCCTGAGTAGCTAGGATTACAGGTGAAAGCCAGCAGCACCTAGCTGGAATGCAAACTTTGAAATTAGACAGATTTGGGTTCAAATTGGCTCATTTGACTGCGGAAAAACTCCCCAAGTCCCAGTTTCCCAAAGGTCTGGACCAGGGAGCACGTTCAATGATTGTTAGATGTCTTATGTCCATTATGCTTCAAGTAGAATATCATTTCCCAGCCACTGAATATCTCCTTCCCAGGAACCACTGAGACAGCTGCATTCCCTCCATCACCGCTGGGAACCACCATTCTGGAGGCCTGGCTGTACTCCTGAGCTTACAGAGCAGGGATAAGGTTTAAAGTGTACTATCACTCTAAACATAGACTTGAGGTGGTTATCTGAGGAAGTTAGAGACCTGGAGCTAATTCATCCCAAGGAAGCAGGGTGACATCATATCCTAGAGCAGTGTTTTCAATTCACCTGCGCATCCTATAGTTATTAAGTACAATAGTCTGAAGTAAGCCCCCTGCAATCTAGACTCACAACAATGATTACAATACAGTGGAGCTGGGTGTTGACTGACGTCTGTGACACATGTTACAGAAAGACAAAATTCAGCTTGAGGGGGGCACAGAGCAAGAGATGTATCTTGGTGGAAGTAATATTACAACAGAATCATGAAGGACAAATGGGACTTCAAGAAGAGCCTTCCAATGCAGCCGCCTGTATACAGGTAGAAATGAGTTGAGGCCATCCCAAAAAGAAGAGGTAAGAATTCAGTGGGGCCACAGAAGAGAGCAGAAGGCACATGGGTGAGACACGGGGGTTGCCAGGGCTGCTCTGCCCCTGGATGGGCCTTGTGGGATCATAGAAATCATGCTGAGGGCCTTGGGCTTCATGACATACAGCAGGATTGTGAGCTCACCTCAAATCTAAGCAGGTGATAAGAAGCAGGGACATGACCAGAGTGTAAGAGACACGGATGAATATGAACACTGGCAAACCAGAAAACCCAGAACCCTTCTAAGAGGCAGCTACCACTCACCTCCACCAATCACTGCCCTGCAAAACTGCAGAACAAGAGGTGCTTAGTTTTATTGTTGTGTTGTTTTGATTTGTTTTTTTTCAAGAGAAACTAGAAATATGAACTTTTATATGGAATTTCCTTTTTTTTTAATGTCAGCAACTAATTCCAAATATTTTAAGAATGTTCAGTAGACCAAACAAAATATATCTTCTGGATGGATTTCAGCCCTTGGGTGGCCAGCTTTCAGCTGTACTGTAGAGCAAAGAAGACAGCAAGTGGCAGATGAGTGCTGGGCTCACACATGTGCTTGTATAAGATCACCCTACACAAATGTGCAGAGGATGGCTGGAGCAAGAGAGAGTAGAGGTCCAGTGGCAAAAAGATAGATACAGGAACCTGGAGAGAACAAAATTGCTTCTAAAGACAAGAGCAGAGAGTAAAGCAAGGAGAAAATCACCAATATGGTACAAGGCTGGATGTTGAGAGTAAGGAAGAGGAATCACAGACTTTCTCAGGGCCTTGGCTTGACCCTCACTGGGTTAGTGATACCCTTCCTTGCAATGGAGAAGAGGCAAAGGCAGATTGCAGCTAGAGGTAGGGAAATGGTGAAGTCCACTTTAAACACGTTGAATTGAGGTGTGTGTAGAAGAATGTCCATGTGAAAATGTGCCTATGGTGTCCCGTAGGAAACAGGGTGCAATGAATGTGTAGGGACTGGAACCTGACCAACTTTAGGACCTTGAGAAATCTCAGTCTTTCTTGAAATCACCTTTACTCATCGACAAAATGGAACAGTACTACCTAATTCACAGGATTGTTGATCAGACGAGATACTAGGTTACAGTGACATGGGATTTAACAAATGCTGATAATAGGTCATGGTGTATCTGGGATTTAATGGATTTTGATTATTTTTATAATGTGAGTCACAAACTCAATGAAGAGGATGAAGTGAACATCTAGATGTGGATGATGCAGCACACAGTGGTAAACAAAATCATGGGAACTTTTGTACTCTGATATTGGAAGAAGGCCAGGTATACAACACCAAAGTAACATCATATAAAGCGGGGGAGGTAGATGGGAAGAGAGGAAGGAGATGGGGTGACTAAAGGCAGGAGAGTCTTCTGTGCAGGAAGCTCAACTTGCTTTAGGAACAAGAGAGAGGCTCGTGGAACATGTGAGTCAGAAGGGCCTCTGAGGACATAGATCTTGTTTCTCCATTTTATAGATGGAGAAATTGAGGGTGGGGGACAGGCAATGTGACAGCCAATCATGACAACAGAGCTCTGGGGAAATGGGCTCTCAGATGTGCTCAAAGGCCCTGCTGCCACTTGTCTAGACCTCCAAGTTGAACTGTCTCTTTTCTCGTCTGCCTACTCTCTAACCTTAGCGTGCTTTGAGACCCAGTTCCTTGTCACACTCTTGTCTTCCCTGCATCCAGCACAGGCTTGATTGGCAAAAATGCATTGAGGGGCTCACCAAGAATGTGTGCACTTGCCTGTCTACTGAGTGAATACTGTCACCTTTGCTGCTAGGGACACACAGAAGAAGATGGGAAGGACCTGGAAAGCTGGCAGGTGCTCAGGTTACTACAGCAGGCACAACCCATTGCTAGATCCACCAGCTATTGTTCCACAGGCTCCCTTCCTCCGCTAGGCTCCTGCTAAGCTTCCCCTAGTGGCATCTGGGCAGCACTGCAGGCCTCATGAGCCAGGAGCAGGCTTCAGAAGAGACTTGAGAGTAGATGCTGTGGGATAGTGGCCTCAGCCAAGAGGGTAGCTCAGCAGACCTTCCTGGGGAAGTCTTCAAGTGTGGGACAGCCTTTCTCTCTCCATGCACCATCTCTGTATCACTGTGGCCCCTGACCCTGCCATGCATCATGCTATAAGGGAAGAACACTCAGAAACTAACAGAGGACATGTTGCTCAGCACTCTCAGTACACCTTGCCCAAAGCCCCACATTCACCCCATTCCTTCCATGTTGCATCATCTGCCCAATATCACACTGAGAGCTCAGAGGAGGAGGGGCGGTTCTGAAACTCCACTTCACCTCAGCAACGAGTACATGGTAAACATGCAAAAACAATTCTTGTATTGGCAAATAAATGGTACAGGCTTGTATAACTCCATTTGGCTCAATACTACAACTTTGAAGACTGTGATCCTATACCTTAAAAAATAATATACTGTCCATATTTGCACAAAGAATTTTATATCTATATTGTTTATAGCACTGGAAATCTGGAAACAAAATGAAGAGGTAAGTAAACTATGATGCCTCAAGATTATGCAACAGCCTACTACCATTCAAACAATGACCAAATTACGTAGGTGTGCAGAAATCAGTCCTGCTTAGCAACAGCTAATGTAAGGCAATACAGACATAAAAACAAATAAAAAGCCATGACTAGTGGCTCATAACTGTAACCTTAACTACTCAGTAGGCTGACATCTGGAGGATCCAGGTTCAAAGCCAACCCAAACAGAAAAGTTTGCTACACTCCATTTCCAATTATCTAGCAAAAAGCTGGTTTGAAGGAATAGCTTAAGTGGGAGAGCACCAGCCGAGCAAGAATACAAGACTTTTGAGTTCAAGTCCCAAAACTGACTAAAAAGGAAAAAACAAACTACAACTCAGTAGCTTACAATCAAAAGCCTTGAGGGGGGCTGGGAAGGTGGCTCAGTGGTAGAGTGCTTGTCTTACATGCCTGAGGCCCTGGGTTTGATTCCTCAGTACCACATAAGCAAAAAGAAAAAAACCAGAAGTGGTGCTGTGGCTCAAGTGGTAGAGCACTAGCCTTGAGCTGAAGAGCTGAGGGACAGCGCCCAGGCCCAGAGTTCAGGCCTCACGACCGGACCCAAAAAAAAAAGTCTCACAAAAAAAAAGACTTGAGGGTCAGACAACATTGGGTTTGGGTTCTGCCTTTGCCATCACCTACAGGAAGGTACCTGAGCAATTCTTACTCCTTTTCTAAGTACATTGTCCTGTGTGTGACCTCAAAGTAGATCCATGTTTCAGGGATAAAGAACGGAATATAAGAAATGTCAAAAAGTAGAAGTGGCAGCTGAATGTGGTGGCTTAGGGCTGTAATACCAAGTACTCAAATGTTGAAGATTGGGAGGACTGCAATTCCAAGGTCAGTCTAGACAAAGAATTAGCAAGATCCTATCTCAGTCAACAAGCCTAGCTTTTTGGTGGTGGTTCATATCTATAATTATAGCTATGTCAGAGGTATTACAGGAGGGTCACACTCTGAGGTTAGGCTCCAGGAAGAAATGAAAGACCCTATTTCGAGGGAAAAAAAAAAACAAAGCAAAAAGGCTGCTGGCATAGTTCAAGTGGTAGAGTGCCTG